TTTGTCTCCACGCCGTCTCTGGAGCGACCGCCGATCATGCAGAGGCAATGGAGTTATTAGTAATAGGTTGGTTGACATTGACGGGAAAACCCGCAAAAAAAGAGAGGAAAATCTGTCTTGCATCAAGTGCGAGCAAGAATGTTTATGCATGTTTTTTTTACGATCGAAACAGGAGAGTTACGGATTATATATTTAAAAAAAAAGATAAACTCAGACCGAGTAAAATAATAGACGTACAACAGAGCAACATGACTCTAATAATAAAAACAACAAGAGCTACCAGCATTGAGCCTGTTCGTTGGTTGGTTTCTGGACTGATAAGTCTAGCTAATACTGGTTTGTTGTGAGAGAAAAACACTGTTGACTGGCTGATAAGCCCTGACTGAAACCAACAACCGAACAGGCTGATTAAACGGTTGGATTGAGGCATCAGCGAGGCCTAACAATAAAAATTCACCACCAAAACACATCAGTGCCCCCTTCATCGCGAAAGAAGACACAAGTCGCATCACCCCGCAATTAACCCAACACTATCACTAGATGACAAAACTACCAATTCGACACATTGTCGTCACAACTTGTGGCACCGTTAAAGGCGATGTTCCACACCAAGCACGCCATTGCCATGCAAGGCAAATCGCTACATATCGCTACGAGTTGTGTAGCAACCGCAGGATTGATTCTATTTGTGACGTCTACCGATATTTGTCCGGCTCGAAACTAACCACTGCCATGCAAGGATAGCCAATATAGCCCGTTGCAAGCCGTGAAGCCGACACACAAAACAACTGCCTATGGTCACTGACCATATAGCTCCAATCGACCCAGCCACTTTGCCGAAAAAACAACACGTCAAAGCGGACGCTTCCAGTAGCCAATCTGAAGGTCTCTACACAAACCAAAGCAACAATACACTTCTATTGGCCACCTTGTGCTTAGGGATGAAAACGGACGGAAACGGGCGGAAAAACTCCTCTCCCATTTCCGTTTCTATATTTTTAGCGGAAACGGGATCGGGTTCAGGAAAAAAACAGAATTAAAAACGGATGGGGATATACGGAAATACAGAAACAGACAAATACGGACGGAGAGCCGGAAAAATAAGTTAGAATAACATGATCAAATATCCTTGAGTATACATAAACAAAGTCACAAAATAATATACATGTACGGAATTATCGGTCCAATATTCACTAGTATACCATGTGTTAACATGTTAACATGCATAATTTGTGATTAGTAGGTTTATGAACATATCAATTTCTAGACATATCTCACATAGATTGAAAACGGGATGAAAAACGGAATAAATACGGGTCAATTCTGGATAAAAACGGGATCTCGCGGAAACGGACGGAAAAAACCCTTTCCTGTTTCCGTAGGTCCCACAAATACGAAAACGGATGGAAGAGAGTAGAAAGCGGAACGGGTCGGAACATGATTTTTTCCGTCCGTTTTCAACCTTACTTGTGCTGCACCAACCTCTAGCCAACTTTGCGGCCACCTCTAGTGCATGGTGCCCAGGGCCGGCCCTGAGGGCGGGCGAGCGGGGCGGCCGCCCTGGGCCCCCGATCCCATGGGGCCCCATCCCAGGAATACCGTATTTAAGGCTTAGCAGCGAGCCAGCGAATAGTCTGCGCCGTTACTAGCCTGCAGGTGCACCGCTCTGCAACAACCTGACGATCCTCACGCGAGCTACTTTGCGAACTCGATCTGGTGGGCCCTGAGCAACCATGCTAACTAGCTTTCTTCATCTTCTCCTATTAAACAAGACATGAAAGCCAGAGCAATTTGCTAGTTTCCTTCACTATCTTCTTGCCTCTTCAAAGCGCACATGATTATGCATGCACACGTACAGTAAAGCTTACATGCTTTCTTTATTTAAAAAAAATATTTTATACAAAATCTCGTCAAATAGAGAAAAGAAAAAAGTGAGCATGAGTAGATGAATTAATACAATCACGGAGAGATCTATACGTAAGTTTTTTTATAAGAGCAATTCAAGCGTAGAGATCCAAACAAGATGGTGATGGTTGACTGGTTGTTGTCGAGGAACTAGAGTATCTATCATAATTAATGACTTCGCATCGAGAACATCAAAATAAAATTTTAAGGCATTTTATTATATATGTATTGTTTTTTTTTTAATATTGCTTTTGTATATGTAACTAAGCGTTTATCATTAACAATTTATACGTATAAGTGCTTAGTTCATGTGTATATAAGGGCCCCCTAAATTTTGGTTTCACCCTGGGCCCCTAAAAACATAGGGCCGGCCCTGATGGTGCCACTCTACCGTCGCCAACAACTACCATACAAAAAGCACCCCAATCCTGCACAGATGTTGTTGTCAAAGACTATCTCCTACCTCCGCTGACGTGTATTCTGTCAGGTCGGTTGCTATAGCCTCAACACTCACCGAACTCACCAATGCAATGTATACACCATCGTGCATTGCACCCCGCACGAGACCAGCCAGATTGTCGTTGCCAGTCTCTACGCACAGCCTCGCCTACGACTACCAACTCACTCCATCCATGAACGCCGAGGAAACCAAATTGCTGCATGTCCATTCACCACGAGCCACGTGAAAAGTCTAGACTTGCTTGGATGCCAGCTTTTTCATACACATCCCATGCCCTAAACTGTACAACCCCTTTGAAGAAACTATCATGAGCTGGTTTGGATGAATAAATATTAGTGGAGAGGCGCTAAAAATGAGTGTCTTTCACTCTGGGTTGTAATATTACTTGAGCATTGAGATGCCACAATTCTAAAAATGCAATGATAACTCCCACTGTTAGAGCACCTTGAATACCAACAAACCAATTATTTACAATAAGGGTCTCTTGCACAGTATGCTTGTTCACTCTTAGCTTAGACACCAAAACATAGAAATGATGAGTAGCAAGGTCTGTGCTTTTTTTTGCCCATGTAACCATCCGCCTCTACATAAAAGGGTGTGTGCACCGTCTCCCACTTATGTAGCCACAACCATAAAAAAGAAAGTTCATGGTGAAGTTTGATAGAAAAAATAGCGCAAGGGCGATTAGCCTCGGTCTTTTGGAACCATGGTCATCTCATTCTCAAAGCCCAACTTATGTGTTGGACATCCAAGATGCCAAGCCACCAAGCTCTGGGCCATACTTTAGTTCATGCAACAAGGCAATGTCTACCCTTTGCATCAACACATTGAAATTGGATAAACGTTGCTCTTTCGCACATTCCAAACTTTTCATGATGGCGCATGAAGCTAACCACATCATCAACATATAGAGGAATACGTACAATGCTACAATTATGTCCTAGCAAGGTGCTGCTATAGGCCTTCCTCCAAAGTTCTTGGTAAAATGTGACTCAAAACATCCGTAACAGGGATGAATAACATGGGAGAAAGAGGATCACCTTGGCACATCCCTCATCCATAGAGTATAACTTGTGTTGAGGAAGCTAAAAGCCCACTAAGTGTATCACACAAAATATATTCAAAGCCTAACTTCTACATCACTTCAATAAAACTGAATCAAACGACTTTGTGATATCCAATTTAACAAGGATTCAGGCCTTGCTTTTGTTGATGGAGGAATATCAAAACTTTGTATGAGTACATACACATCTAAACACGATACTGGAGCATCTCTAGAGACACACATGTACAAGAATAATCACATTTTATAGTGATTATAAACAGGTAGTTTTAAAAATTATACGTGTAAGCGTAGGTCTATGCAAACTTCTCTAGAGATGCACCACTAGTAAGCCATAATGTATATTAGTTCACTTGAGAAGTATTGCATGGAAAGATGATGTTTTTTTTGCCTGATTATGAGTAACATCGATAGTTTTAGCAAAAGTATTCTAACTTGTATATATTTAAGTAGGTTACAAAACGAAAAAAAAACAAAACTTAATTGTCATTACAGTATGTTGGGCTTGTTTATAGCTAAAATAAATTAAAACTAAAAGCCAAATTACATATTTTTGTGGCCACGCTTCTCTCCGTAGCCCCTTTAGTACATATTAAAACATACCACTCGATCAAACTAGTTTACTCTACAGTATTTTTCTCTATGTACAGCTATTTTTTTTCGAGCATGGTGTACAGCTACTTAGGAAAGTGCTTCCATAGAAGCGATAGAAGTTGCATCAAATTTGCCAATTATGCAGGCCAGGCCGATCCAACACATCTTAGAGAAGAGATAGCATTGAAGCAGAGTCACGTAAGATTTGGTTTGGATGCGTGTGTTTAGACACGCTGCCTGCATCAGAGCCAAACCACGGCATCCACCACCATTCCAGCTCTAGGCCAGGAAAAAACGTTGCGGGACTGCGTTCACCTTGCTTTTTCTTCTCCCGTACACCCCCGCCCCGCGTGCGCTCTCTCCCTCTCGTGGGGACGACTGGGCGACCGCCGCCGCCTTACGCCAGGTGCCCAGGTCTTCGTCGGGCCCTTCGCCGGCGACGAGGACCTACCAGGTATGCCCACCCTTCTCCCCCCTCTTTCTGTGCGAAACCGAGCGCCCAAACCCTAACTCAAGCTATTTGGCTATCTGTATTCGGATCTGATCTAACTACAAGGGTATGATTGATTAAAAAAAAACAAGTGTACATATGTATTATGCCTACTGACTTCGATTTTTTGTTTGCAAAAAAATTCTGGTGTACATGTGTACACCCCTGTCCTTTGCTGGGTCAGTTCCTGTCTGAATTCTGTAATTCAGTGCCGGAACATGTATTTTTTGACTGATCACTGGTCACAGAACCCCCAGTTTGTCGGGGAGTAGAGACCTGGGAAGCATGAGTTTATAATAAAACTATTTGGCACGAGTGCTAAATTTCCAGGGGCTTAACAAAGGTGCTTCCTGAATTGCTGGGTGCTGATTTTCCTCCAGTCCATCACCTCTTTTTCATCCGTTCACGTGTTACTTTGGTGTGTGTAATGATTTTGTTCTGCATACAGCTGAGAATAAGGTTGTCTGGAGCGGTCGTGGATTTTGCGGATGGCAGGTTCTGCGGTAATGGATGATTCAGCTGCTAGCACAACTGGAATGAGGGATGATGAACGCAGTCTCTCTGGCGAGTCCTTCTCTGAGTGGAGGTCATGCGAGCGGGCCGACAGTGACACCCCTTCAACATCCCCACCCTTCTGGGACAGCGACGGTGATGATGATGATCCTGGTGCGTGAATGCACTTGATCTAATGCCTGTTACTTTGGTGTGCTGAATGATTTTGTTCTGCATAGCCAAAATTTCATTGATCCACTCATGATTAACATAGTTGATATAGTTGCTTTGTTCCCAAAGTCTTGACATCTTACAAAAGCTCTGGTCGAAAAGTTTTTAGCCGTAAGGCAGAGTGTGCATTTTGTTCAGTCATTGATCATTGAATGCTAGCTGAAGGCCCATGCGATTGGCTGGATTTGTCTGTCAGTTACATAAGAAGTAGTCCAACCATGCTGCGCCCACGCACAAGGAGGCTGATAATTTAAGAAATAGAGAACGGACCATGCTTACCGTTGCTAAATGGACTGGTAGCGCTTAGCCACCATCAATATTTTAGATAGTGTTCTAGAAGGTAGAATAGCCTCCATCTAGGCGTTTACTGCAACCGTGCTGCCACACAAGCACAATCGACAGCCTGGGCAGTTTGATTGACTAGGTGGTCCAAGTTGGTGACCAATTGGGCTAGGCAGAGTGGGGCATGTGCCAGCTGGTTGGGAGGAGGATGAAAAGGTGCAGGTGGAGACGTGGAAGAAGGGGGATGGTGGTGATGGTCAGTTAGCGGCAGATTCCATGAACCAGAGGTGGTGACTGCTTCTTGAAAACCTCCACACCGTTGATTTCTACCGGTCGTGAACTGGTGAGGAGGAAAATGGGATGTGGAAGTGGACAAGGAGGTAGTTGTGGTGATGGCAGCTGCTAAGGAGTGGAGGATGGAAGAAAGATCTTTTGGTCATTCTGGGCATCTTGCTTAGTACGGGTCTATTTTTCAAAAGTGGAAACATATTTTAAGTTTTTCGGGTTGTGCATGGTCCAAGAAAAATAACCATTGTTGGCACTGGGAGAGTAGCAGTTGGTCTATTAGGAATATAAGCGCGTGTCTTATCAGAAGTGAAATTTTAGTATTTTTCCAGTTATGTAAGGTCCAAAAAAGGTACCTGTTCTAGCATTGGGAGCATACCATTGGTCCTTTAGGCCATGCCATAGCACCTGAGGTGACTTGATGTTTCAGGCACCACAGTGAATGGTGCTTATTACTGACTCTCACATTTGCTATCTAATCCTGACTGATAGTATACCTGTATGATGCTTCAATTTATCCTAATACCTGTCGCTTATGGGAAAAACATAGACACTGATCAAGTCAAAATGCCGAGTAAGTCTTGTCTCTGATCAGATTCAGATTGCATGCACATTAGAGTTTGAAATAAATCAGATGAGTTTTTTTTGCCACAAATTATCCTATGAACAAAGAAAGCTTTATAAGAGTCCACTTACATTCTTTATTGAGAGCATCCACATGACCTTGATTACTGCCACTCTGCCTTACCTTTTGTAAATGTCAATAATTATGCTACTTATGTAGACTTCTTTTTGTGAAGAACTAAATTGCAATAGGACTTTTCTAAAAGGCCATGCTTTTTTTCTCAATCACACAGGAGAGCTGCATATATCATTATATTAAGAAGAGAGGGGTTTAAAACTCGTACAACACCAGGCCAACCCACTTCAAAACACTTACACTAGCATGCCTATTACAAGGATCAAAACATGACTGTGACCTAGGAGAAAACTAGCCACCATCTGGTGCAAATGCAGCGAGATAAGAAATACCTTGAACCTGGCCAGATCCCCACAATGCAGTTCTTCTCTATTGAGTGACAAAACTCCAGCTAGATTAAGAAGAGTGCCATAAAGAACACACAGGCTGCAATGGTTCCAAATCCACCAAGCACCCAAAACGATAGAATTGAGCCCTTTTTTGACCTGATGATCATCAACTCTCTCATTTGTTCTAGCCAACCAATCATCAAAAGGAAGGTCATCAGGTTGTGGGGTTAGGTCCTGCAGACTAACCTTTTGCAATAGACTGAACCACACTTGGTGAGCAAAAACACAGGATGTGAGCAGATGATGGATTGTCTCCTGAGCCTGATCACAAAGGCAACAACGCTTAGAGTGTGGTAGTCCCCGATGTTGGCTGTCCAACACCTACTATTTTTGCATGCTGATCGTGCCCTAATTAATTTTAGTCTCTATTTGCTGTTGCTGCAAGGATAAATCTAGGTCCTTTCCCTGATTCAAGTCTTTAACATTTTATTGCTCATAATTGTTTTCAAAGATACATGTTGTGTCCTAAGTTCTAAAGTTTTGTTTTGTCCTGTTCATAGCTCATTTTGTTGAATTACCATAACAGGTCCCAAGCCTTCAGAATTGTTTGGACGTTACACTTGGAGGATTGAAAACTTCTCAAAGGAGAAGAAAAGAGAAATGAAAAGTGAGCCATTTGAAGCTGGTGGTTTCAAATGGTAAAGTTCTTGATGGCAATTATTTGGAAAACATTTTTTTTGATGTTTCTCTTTTCTGCCTTTTCTTTCCATAAACTTAAGCATTGCTCTTGGTATCTAACCTAGCTTCAAATTGGGCACTTGAGGATGAAATATACCACTCCTTGTAGATGCTATGATGAACTAACTGCCTTTTTCATTTGGACTTCGTTAGATATGGCACCATTCATGATTGCTAGTGTTTCACAGTATGCCTTGTATCTTTTCGTCAATCAATTAATGGATGGCATTGCTTCAAGCGTGCGTGTATTTCCTGTATGCACTTGTTGAGCTCAAATTGTGTCAATTTTTTTCATGTTGGTACCTATGGGTGCTAAACATGCTATTTTTCTCAGTATCATTTCTTTTGTTGCACTCCACTCTTATACAATTACAACTAGCCTATCATTATGTTGTCAATGTGTGCTGATATATTTACTCTTGCCCAAAGAGCACCAACTTTTGTGGCACTGTGTATGTAAATAGCATTTATATCTTACTGATAATGATTACTTTTCTCCAGCATATTGATTGAAAATGTTGGGACCTAACCTGGGGATTGGAACATGCTAAACACATTTCCCCCTTATGTGCCATTTGCCCTTTTGCATAACAGGCTGACATTATATGTTTCTTTTTGTCAAATGGTCTGTTGGTGGTCGTGGGAGTTAGAAGCAAGGAATTGTAGTAAATAATCCTGACATAGCAATGGTCTGTTTTATACCCTATTAGTGTTAACATAGCACATTGCATTCGACATATATGATATACCCCCATGGTTTGGCTTTTGTCTCCGTGGAAAGCTGTTGGAATCAGAAAGCTATATAGTTTTATTCATGGTCTAGTATCTTTTACTCCTGTGTCATTTTCTGGTGTACATATTCTGTATGCTAACATGCTGACTCCTTTGTTATTTTTTTTCCCAAATTTATTACACAGGTATATTCTTGTATACCCTCAAGGATGTGATGTCTCTAATCATCTTTCATTATTCCTTTGCGTTGCTAATCATGACAAACTTCTCCCAGGTTTGATGCTGTGTCTGCTGCAATCTTTTACATGCCAGTGCGGTACTGAGATTACCTTTCTGATCCTAATCTGACTATTCCAGGATGGAGTCATTTTGCACAGTTCACTATAGCTGTAGCCAATATAGATCCTAAAAAGATGAAGTACTCAGGTGAGCTGAACTTGGTTTGTTTTCTTCTTGGAAGGTGCCCACAATAGTTATCTTGACATTATCTTCAGGCATTAATTAAGTAAGCTTTGTAGATACTTTGCATAGGTTCTGGAAGAAGGAACATGATTGGGGATGGAAAAAGTTTATGGAGCTGTCAAAGATTCAGGATGGTTTTCTTGTTGATGATGTTCTTGAAATCATAGCTCAAGTTCAGGTTATCAGGTAGCTAATCAGTATCTGCTCTGATTGATAGTGCTTCTGATTCACAGATTCATGGGATTTCTACAAATAGACTGCCAATATATATTGAAATTGTGTTGCTCCCAGCAAATCCATTGCGGATTATGCTGCGACCATTCCCTTGAAAAGCATAATGTTGCATTTGCTCCGGTTTATAATTCTTTTGGTCGTCGTATAACCTTCAGTATAACTTATACAAAGGAGCAAATCATTGTTTTACTCATCTAATTCTGTATTTCTGTATATGGGACAATTTGCCCATTTATGTTTGTTTGCTATATTGGCAACCTATTCTTGTAACATGCTAAAACATCAGACTGCTATATCTTTTTGACATTCAAGGGAGAAAGTGGATAGACCTTTTCGTTGCCTTGATCGTCCTTATCGGAGAGAATTAATCCGCATCTATATGACAAATGTGGAACAAATCTACCGACGTTTTGTTGAGGAGCGAAGAAGTAAATTAAGCAAGCTCATTGAGGACAAAATGAAATGGTCCAGGTTAGACAGTTGGCTTTCCTAGATTAATCTGTCATAATAAATTGGACAGTGTCGCGTGCTGTTGTTTTATAATTTATATACTTTCTGCCATTAAAATCTTTGTTGGTCTTGCAGTTTTCGTGCTTTCTGGTCAGCAATTGACCCAAACACCAGGCATCGCATGTCCAGGGAAAAGATTGACACTATATTGAAAATGTTAGTGAAGCAATTCTTTGTAGAGAAAGAAGTTACTTCCACATTAGTGATGGACTCTTTGTATACGAGTCTGAAGGCACTTGAATACCGGATGAAGGGCAAGAAAGGCAAAACAAAATTAGCAGATTTGGAAGAACTACCTGCGCCTATGGTCCATGTTGACATGGACATGTTTGTTTTGGCTGATGATGTTATAGCTTTGCTTGAGAGAGCAGCCTTAGAACCCTTGCCTTGTCAACCTTTAGCCCCCAAGGATGACAAAACTTCCCAAAGCCGCATGAAGGTAGGGATAATATAATTTGATATGTCATATCTTGGTTTTATTTTCAAGTTTTGCCCATCTTAGTAGGTATCTGTTTTCTTGGCCCTAGAACCTCAATCAATTATATTAGGACAATTTTGTTGCTAGTTTCTCATGCCTACGTGCAGGTAATCCTTTTGAACTCGTCTGGATTGGTTTAGTTTCTGACAGGTGTTTAATGAACAAGTTAATAACTGTGTTTACTATTACTCTCATCACATACACAAATACCTTGCGTGTTGTTACTCATAGGCTTGTCCCTTGTTGAAAGAGAGGTGTTCCATTTCCAGTCAGAACAGCCTAGCATATGACATTTGCTGAGATATGTTCTGTTTATACAAACAAATATTTGAGCATGCAATTAGTATGTTCTCTAAACTATCTTTGTAGGTTGGTCAACAGTTAGCTTGTTTTCATCGCATGGTATTGACTACTTGCTATGTTCTGTATAAGCGCATAGCCTTGCATGATTCTGTTATATTTTGAGAAGTGAAATCACCGTTGCATAGAATCATTTTTTTGTTATGCTCGTCTTCGTAGGATGGAAGTTCTGGCGAGGTCTACAAAGTTTCTATGGAGCGTGAGGAAAGGCGCCTAACTGAGCTTGGTCAGAAGATACTAGAGACATTTGTGCTATCTCATATATTTAGGTAACAATTGATGTATCCATTTTAATCTTTGTGATTACTTAAATTGGATTGATTCTCTTGGTCATGTAGGAACTGATTGGTCCTGACTTTACTGCCTTAAAAGCAGACATAACAAACTGAAATGATGGTTTGATCTGAATGTTCAGCAAAAAGGTTGGATCGTAGTCACTGGGACTGTAGTTGATGCCGTGTTCCGTGACCCAAAATGTTGTCCCAATCCATGGGTCAAAATCAATGTGGGTCGCTGCCCTGTTGCCACATGCAACGAGATGTATCAATGAACAAAATGGGGGAGGGTGTGTGTGTGTATGGAGTGCTTAGATGTGAGAGGCACTCAGCATCGAAGAGGGACACCCGACCACTGGTGGTGTATAGCATTTGCACCACACCGGTGACAGTAGCAGTTACAGCTGACATGGTGGTGGGTTGCATATCCATATTGTGTACCGCATCGAGCCAGGCTGAATGGAACACCGTACACAGCCTGATTTACCTTTTCTTGTTCTTTTGTATTTTAATTATTTTGTGCTGATCTTCTGTAACGATTCATACGTGGAATATCAAAGCTCATCGAACCAGGTCATCAACCTAGATTACTTGGGATCACTCAATCCAATCTAACCCCTTCGACTTGTTTTTCTAGACACCTGTGCGGCTGTGCCCCACGTCCCTGTCCCCGACCCGTGACCCATTCAGCTCAAATTTTGTGGTGATTATTAGTTGGATAGAGTTGTGGAAATACTACTACTATAAATCTAAATATGAAGGCTCTCTCAGCTTAGTTTATTATGACCATTTGCAAAAATATATGGCTGATAAATGTTCACCAACTATATTTTGTGACTGCACATGCCGACTATCAAACTCAGAAGAGGCTAAAAGACATTTTCTGGTTATTTTTATACACTAAAAAAAGAAGGCCTATTATAGTAGTTAGGTTTGAATTTCAAAAAGAAAACTTGGGTACTGATCAGTGGAATATCTTTAAATCGTTGGCGAGCTGTTCTCTAATGGTGATATAAGCTGACTGTTTCTTTTGCTTCTTATATTTTGTTTTGTTAGTGGAATTGAAGTTGCATACCAAGAAGCTGTTGCTTTGAAAAGGCAAGAAGAACTTATTCGTGAGGAGGAGGAGGCTGGGCTTCTTGAACATCAGATGAAGGGGAAGCGTGGTGGCGGTGCAAATGAAAAGGACAAGCGTGCCAAGAAAAAGCAGGTACTAGTTCCTTACATGCATTGGTTTTCTTCTCAGTTTCTTATGTTGAACCATGTTATGTTAAAGTTTATCAATGGCACATTTAGAAATGGCTCTGTAGCTGTCGGGTTTCTGGAATAGTTCTCAGTCAAGAATATTTGCGAGTTAGAATCTATAGTTCTTCTCTGTGTCCCTCATTGATTTAATTGGATTTGGTATAATGATGCGTGACTTGAAAAAATGAGTTACGTCTGAGGTTTTGCAGTTTCAGCAGGGTTGGTTGCCTATCTTGTTACTGAAGAAAACTTGTTCAAGATTTCTTGTTCTTTACCCTTAGTTCTAGTTAACTTGATGCCTCTATCGCTCTTGTATTGTCCTTTTCATCGTAAACTTGGTTTGTTTTTTCAGACCAAGCAAAAGAAGAACAACCGTAAGGCTAAAGACAAGGAAAGAGATGAGAAATGTGAGGTTAAAATTCTGGAAAGGCTTCGTGATGAAACTGCCATTGATAATTGTGATGGCTTACCAGCTAAGGTGGAAGTGATAGCAAAGGTTGATGCCTTGGAAGAAGGTTCGTCAGATGGGTCAGACATGCCAAATAGGTTAGTGAACACTTGAAAACATGTTGTGCATCACTTTCTTGTAAGATTGGCATTTGCTCCAGCTAGACTTGTGTGCAGAGGGAAAAATCAGCGTAACAAGGGCTTAAGCATTATTGACTTTGCTGAAGAAGGTGATGGTCTTCCCTCCACCTCTAGTGTTACTGGTGGTTCAGGCCGCAATAGTTCTGGCTGCTGCACAGCTCCAAAACTGGAGCAGGATACTGTTCTACTTACCTTGAGAGATAAACTTCGTAAGCTAGGGCAGCGTCTGCACGAGGTGAATTTAGTATTTCAAAAAAGCTGTCTTTGTTTTGTCATGAAATTTATAGTTTGGCTACTACATTTTCTGCGTATGAACAACTGAAGGATCTGAATTATGACTGTTGGTTTTGTATGTGAGCATATTTTAAACATGCCCTCATATTCCAAAAAGTCCCTTTATGTTTGTTGCAAGTCAACATTTCTTAACTTTGACCATCAGTAGCTAAAAGTTCATATAGATTTTGATTTGCCATGGTTAATGCTGCTAGATTCATCATGAAAGACGCTTCAACATTATTTAACTCCTTTCTATTTGAAACAATATGTTCTTTATGATATCATCTGTCAGAGTGCCATATTAAGACCATGTTGATACTCTAATGAACCTATATTTGGAATCAAAGGGCGTGATAATTATACTTGGCACCCATGTTGTCTCATGGTAGAGGACATAGGATGTTGTGATCACTGGTTCAAGACCTTTATCCTTCAAATTTTCTCAAATGCACAGGAAAGCTGTGTATTTATCCTTCAATCATTGATAGATAGTTCCTTCTGTGTATCATTATGTTTTTAAGAAATTGAGCCTAACTCATTTGTTGGGAGGTTTGGATGTACACTCTCAACACCCAAGGTTTGAGTCCTCTTTGACTCGAATTTGGGTGCTTATTTCTTCTTATTCACCATGCCACCTAGTTCCTTCTAGGTGATAAAATTTTCTTTTCATCATATTTTAATGGTGAATAATATTATCTCTTGATTGATTCATGAACTGGAGACAATCATAATATCTTGATGCAAAACCTGACAGATTTTTTCCTTACGTTTTTGTCCTGTACTGTTGGTGACTGGTTATGTCAATGGATTGGTATGACAATGCAACCCCTTTTTCCCTGTGAAACACATGTACCAGTCACTCGAATGGATGTGCTGATGGGTTCTTATTTTCCAGCTTACATAAGGAATGCTCAGTGTTTACTTCATTCATAGTAAATGTCAACTGATTCGTTTCTGTAACTATGTTTTGTTTTTGCATTTTTTTTTCAGAAAAACATTGAGGGGCAGAAACTTCTCAAAGCTCATTTTGAAGCTAGGGACGCAAAAGCGAAGGCAGAAGAATCTTCCGACTCATCTAATTCTTTGGATAAGCCACCTGATGTTCCAGAAAGCCCTATGCATTCCTCAGAAGATACAGTTGATCTTAAAGTTAACGGAACACCAAATAAGGATGCCTCTGTGGTCAACCCTGTCCTGGAGGAATCTGTTTCAGGCATACCAGCCACTGCAAACAATGAATCTGTGCCTTCTCCCGCCACAACAAAAGTGGGCCCAGTTTCAAACAAAGATAATGCATCAAGTTTGAAAATGAAAGTCACCATGGCATCTCCTTGCTCGAAATTACATGCAGCTGATATGGATAAAGATGCCCCTCTTCCTTCTAAATCACCACGAATCAATAGAGCTGCTCCAGTTCCTCCTAAACTGCTTTCGGCTGATAAAGCAACGCCAGTTCCCTCGAAGCTACCTTTGGCTGATAAAGCTACTCCAGTTCCTCCAAAATCTCCGTCAGTAAACAAAGCAACTCTGGTCCGTCCCAAATCTCCTGCAGTTGACAAAGCAACTCCAGTTCGTCCCAAATCTCCAGCAGTTGACAAAGCAACTCCAATTCGTCCCAAATCTCCAGCAGTTGACAAAGCAACTCCAGTTCGTTCTCAATCTCCAGCAGTTGACAAAGCAACTCTAGTTTGCCCTCAATCTCCAGCAGTTGACAAAGCAACTCCAGTTCGCCCTCAATCTCCAGTCATTGACAAAGCAACTCCAGTTCTCCCAAAATCTCCAGCCATTGATAAAGCAACTCCAATTCCTCCCAAATCTCCACCAGTTGACAAAGCCCCTCCAGCTCTGCCAAAATCACTATCAGGTGCTAAAGATGCGCCTGTTCCTTCAAGGTCTCTGCAAATTGATAGGTTTATTCCAGCCCCCCCAAGATTATCACAAGTTGATAAAGCTGCTCTGCCTTCTTCAGAACAGACACATATATCTCCGGCTACTAATTCTGAAGCTCAAGGGGCAACTACTTCTAGGAAGGTCACAGTCAGCTCAGTTTTGGAGGTTGCTGCAGCATCGAGGCCTTCAAGTGCTCCTGTGTTACCAACACCAAGATCAACTGCACCAGCTGCTTCACATATTCAAACGTCCACATTGCTTTCCCGCTCGATGAGTGAAGCAGCTGGGAGAAGGTCAGTAAATGATCCTTCCTTTTCTGCCCCATCTTATACTCCACAGACCTACCGAAATGCAATAGTTGGTAAGACTGGTCTGGCTACAACCTCTGCAAGCCTTGCTTATCAGTCTTCTTCTCTGGGTCAAGATACTGCTCCTTCACAGCCTCTATCAGCATATGCATCAAGTACAGCAGTCATGATGCCTCGTGCTGGAAGATCTGATCAGTCGTCAGCTAGGCATGGATTCAGGTCTGGGTCTGGTAAGTTAGAAGCACATGACAGCTGGCAGCAGTGGAAAGGTGACAGTAATGTTGATATGCATCTCTGGAGGGATCACGCTCCTTATCAACAAATGACCAACAGTCAAGCATATGACCAATCTCGGAGGGACGATACTTATCAGCAAGCATGCAGCAGAGGAACAGAAAAGTTCAGCATGCATGCAGGACTGCAAGCTAGGCAGTTCCAAACCGAGACACCCGCCAGTCATGTCTGGCACCAACCACAGGGGCCAGTGGCAGAAGAATTTCCACACCTTGACATCATAAACGATTTGCTTGAGGAGGACCAGATCAACGGCAGTATACCAGAGTCATTTCGTCAAGATTACAATGCGTTTGGCCTGCCGTTTTCGCCAAGAGGAAACTTGTCAGATATGGAAGTGGCTTCTGTTAGAAGCCCCGCTCGGTTCAATTCAACCAAGTACAACGGTGGATTCTCGGGGGCTTATGACATAAATGCTGTCAGTGGGTTGAGGGAGCGGCAGTTTCCCTCGTTGGATAGTTACTCTAATGGCCTGTCTGACGTGAGTGCTTCAAAGCCTTGGCTCAATGGCTCTGCTAGTCCATCGGTGAGCCTTGGGGTTAACGCAAATGGATACCACCCCCAGGTGGGGGACTACCCCAATCTGGGAAGTGGGGTGAATGGAGTCTCCTTGTGGCGCCGCCATGCCAACGGGCGCTGGTAATGCGAGAGCCTGTATACAATCATACAGTCGGAATAATGTTTGTTGTCACAGATGGTTTCGGGCCTGAGCTGATGTGCCATGTAATTAAAAGTTTTTAGTTTTAAAAGGGAAAGAAAAGAGATACATCCTGTAAAGTCTGTGCCTTGATTTAGGCTAATTTGAGTGCTTTTCTGGTTAAACTCTGTCCTTACGTTCTTAAATTTCGAAGCTAAATTTGGCGGTGGCCTGTGGGAGAAGGGAACCGTATGAAGGTTAGCTAATCCGATGAGTTTTGTAGGGATGGTGCAACCTAACCGGCTGCTCTCAGTGCTCCTGCTAAACAAGTGAGTACCCTGTCCAAAAAATAACTTCTGGTTTGCAAAATAATGACGTTTTGGAAGATCTGGGTGAAAGTTCTAAATCTGCAATCCCAAATATCTTTTAAATATTTATCTAAAAACTATAAATTCATTCATAAGGTAGCTTGCTTCCAGCCTTGCACATCTTTTTACAAGACGAAATCTGCACCAACAACTCTAGCCTATTATTTTGCCACGTGTCTGGTTTCTTTGGATCGGTCAGCTCCTCTCGCTCTCGCCCCGTCTCGAATTCTCCTCCCTTTTCTCCATCGGCCTCACCCATCCCCGCCTGCAGTCACGCTGCCGCCGCCGCCGCCTCTCCCTTCGGCGCTTCCTGCCGGTCAGCCGGTCCACCATGCTATGCCCATGAATCGGCCCCCGTCCTCCACCCTCGGCCATCGGCCGCTCCTCTCCATCCCCCTCCCCAACTCGACACAGCCCCTCGCCCCCTCCCATCGCTTCACGCTCGAGCTTGGCGCGGGCGCCTCCACGGCCTCCGCGACGGCATGTCCCTCCACGAAAACGAAACACCGTCTCCGCGCGCGGTCTCTTGCGGCCCCGTGCGCCTGACAAGACTCCGCGTCACCCCTTTGCTCCAGCTGCAACCACTACCTCCATCAGCCCTCCGGCAAACTGCATCTCTGCGGCCTTGGAAGGGGATGTTAGGTGCCAGCTCGTGGCTGCCTTGGAAGGGGATGTTAGGTGCCAGCTTGCAGATCCATGTGGAGGCAGGCATTCTCCGAGCAAGCAGCCATGGCGCCCAGGCACTGCCCGGGAAGCAGAGCTAAAGCGACCCGCCAAGCCTCTCTGCGTGCTTTTTTATGAAACAGGTGAATGGTAGAAGTTAGATAATTTAATTATCCATGTAAGAACTCATCAAATCCAAACTCCTTTTGAAAAAAAAAACTGAGATTCTACACATAGATAAAATGGTGTATTTAATTGTAATTTCTTAACATGAGCTCGCCACTATCTTTTCCTCCTATGTATATTGTTAACCTGTATCATCACTTTGAATACTACATCTCCAACTGCACAATTGCAAAAACAAATATTATATGATAATTATCTCTCAAGACTCATAAGGTATAGGCTTATATTTAGAATTAATACTGTTGCTTATATATTACAAAATCTATGACATCAAGTAATTTCTATTTTGCAACACATCTTAACGAGTTATTCATTCAGAGTATGCATAATTCATATCAGATTATCAGATTTAATGGAAGATAAATTCCTCGATCTTTAGAGATTATAAGACCAACAGGGCTGCGATGCCATAGCATTGTACTCCCAGTAGTCTGAAATCAGAAGTTAAGATTTGTCCTTAGATGGAATACACACATGTTAGGCATGCAGACTCACTAGGCATTACTTTGCCATTTGGTGCATCAACCTGAACTCCAGGATTTTATGATACTTGGCAACCTGTTTTCAGAGAAAACATTGCTGATATGAAGGCCGTTGCGCGCCATTCTCCCAGTTTGACGGAGCTGTGGAAATGCGGACCATGATGCTTCCTCCCCAACCAGTGGAACACGCTATTTAGAAGCATGAGCATTTTCTATATATCATATCTATTTGGCAATTCCACAAGCAAACACTATTGATTCTGTGCAGTGAACCCTTGTTTACATTTAGTGATGACAAAGTATAGCAGGTTTTGAACCGACAATTATGTGAAACTCATCAATGCTGGAAGGATACTAGATAATAGCAAAACTCTTCCTGAGTCTTTAGTCTTAATTAGAGATATTGTCGTGCCTAATGTGTTTGATCTCTGTGGGCTAAGCTTCACTGACAAACATTACCAGCTTTTGTATACTCAAAAGTCACCTTGGACTGAGATTCTGCCATCACTGTCCAGGTGATCTATTTTGCAATACAAATTTGACCTTCTGCTCCTTTAGCAACGCTACAGGCAAGAGAAACCTTCTCATAGCCTATGTTCTAAACTTCTAATAGATATTTCGTCTGCTACTGTTTTTTAAAAATATCAAATGCATATTCTGAAATGAGATTTCCCCTTCAAGTTATCTTAGTTCTTTGTGAATTGCTTAATATTTTATAGCCATCCAGAGTTTTTTGCATTAGTAATTTAGTTTTTTAATATAGAATAGCATTTCTCAAATATTATTAGAGCATGACATTTGAATATCTTCTATCAAATTAGCAAAAATATCCTACTATACCTTCATTTAGGATTCTTGCATGTCAAGATTAGTTGGGCCCATACCACCAGATATTGGAAGGTTAAATCAGTTGCAAATGAGATCATTTAAGTGACTCTTGTTCTTCTGATGTGTGATGACATTATTTAAGTGGATACATCCTTTTAGAATTTTGCGATTTGGTGGGAGTGACATTGTAAGTTCAGAAGGGCATTTCTAAATTTCATTTGATTAGTTATAGACTTTTATATCATTGTTGGTTTCAACCCCACTTCCTATGAGATAGATCTGATTAGATCTCTCCAATTAAATTAATTGAAGCTATCAGATAATTCTTCACAGTTTTACTGTACAAACAGACTAAACCTAAAAGGCCAACTTGGAAACAAGTTTTCAATTTTACAGCTTTTGTCCTTGCCCACAGAATAGTATAGAGCTTAATGACTATTTCTTGATCTTTTTTTTTTCTTTTTCAGGAACTTATCCAGGAATACGTTGAGCGAGTTCATTCCACATTTTTTTTTTGAACTTGAGCTGTTCATTACATCATTGTAACTGTTTCTGAGGAAATCCATGTAATTGTTATGACAAGCTATGACTCATAAAAATAAGCAATACCATCTCTGGTTCACTTGCAATTTCAATGAGTCATCGTGAGTGATCTTTCCCTATTTTATTCAAAATCATATCTGTCTTATTCATTCGATTCGATGGATACAAAGATATTCATCCATAAGCTGCTCTAATTTATCTCTTCATTCTCCAATAAGTAGCAATGCTACTTTCCCATTCCTTAGATTCCAACTGAATTTGATTTTGGTAATGTAGCTTCGTTGGGAACCTTGGTTATCTGGTATGCACTTGTGCTATCAAACATTTCTTCCATCTAAACCACTGAACTCTTCTATCTGCTGTTGCTTTAACTATATACATTGAAGAGTTGCAATGCATTTCCTTTGGAAATTCATAAGCTGCAGTACTCTACAGCTTTCGTTCAGTGTCAAGGCCAATTTGGCATTCTTTTATGTCAGATATATCAGTCAAACTCTGAGCTTCTGTTTCAACTTTGCCATGCCATAATCTCAAATTATGAACTTGCATGTGTGTAATCTAACATGATATAAGACCTGGAACATCTCAGGATCAACAGGTATACAAGATGTATCAGAAAGTATGTGAAGATGAAGAACCCAGGTTTCAAAATCATCTATGTTGAGCCTCCAGAAAACTCACAAGCAGGCAACTGCAGCAAAAAAAGTAACCGGAACTAGAGAAGACTATTTCTCCTTTATCAATCTATTGACTACATAACAATGCTACTTAATTACAATCAGGATCTAAATTAGACACTTTAAAAGTACATTAACTAAGAGCATAAGAACAAAGATATACAGGTGCTGTTGTCAACAAAAAAAAAAGATATACAGGTGCATTTGAAAAAAAAAACTAAGAGCAGAACATGATATACAGGTTTCAGTGTCCAAACAAGCCAACAAAAGGGTGGCGCGGCAACGCCGTGCCCGTGTCTTTCTAGTTGGCACAGGAAGTTGCTCACCCAAGCCGGCCGAAACACTCGTTAATTCGGTCATTTCTTCACAGCCAATTCGTTTTCTTCGGTCCTTTCTTCATAGCCAATTCTTCTCACTTCCCTTATGCCGCCTAAGGATAGGGGCGGAGCTAGGATTTAAACATGGGGGGATCATACATGATAAAGTGTATGTAAGTAATATCTAAATAAAAATTTATTTTAGGATACACATAAAAGCTAAAATTTCGGTGAATATTACAAAGAAAAAGGGAACAAAATTTATTTAGCACTAGGTCTCTAACTTGCACCCAATCAATCTAATCCTGAGGCCCGAAAATTATCACGGTAAAAATAGAAACGAAGGAGATGAGAAAAAAACATAAAGACTAGTACTAAATAAGCTGCAAGTGGAGATCAATAACAAACAAGAAAAACACTAATTATATTTGTTAACTAGATATAGAATTGTATAGAACAAAAGAAATAAAAAGACAATACGAAGACTATCCTAGATTATTACGGAAGAAGAACAAGTAATTAAAGCACTAATAAGTATCATCTTGTTAATCAAATGATTAACTAGCTAATTGAGGAGGGAGCATTGTGGAGGCATCGGCATGTTGGGGGTGTCAGGCCCCCTCAGCGCCTCCCTCCCTTCGTCACTGCCTAAGGGCATCATCACTGACCTAAATTCTCATAGACGACGTTTTCTATAGACGGGACGCATACGCAGCACAAGTGAAAAATGCAAAATTGTATGGAAGAGAGCTCATTGCCCCACCAAGCTTGGTGGGCTAGGAATTCTCGATCTTCAATGTTTTTCTAGAACACTCAGAATTAGATGGTTGTGGCTAGATTGAACTTCTGACAACAAGCCTTGTTCTGAGATGGCCACAAAGATCACAATTGACAATAAAGCAAAAGCATCCATTTAGCACTCAGCCTGGTGGAATGGTGAAT